GGAAGCAGAAGGAAAGGAACAACTAGGAAAACCTAGACACAGATGGGAGGATATATATTAAAATGAATCTTAGAGAGATAGGATGGAGTGGTATGGACTTGATTTTGTTCGCTGAGGTTATGGGCCAGTGGAGGGCTTTTATGAAAATTGTAATTAACATTCCGGTTCCGTAAATTGTTGGAAAATTCTTAAGTGACTGAGCGACGGGCGGCTTCTGAAAAAGGGACTCAGCTCCATGAAGTTAGTTAGATAGTTATCTGCGAATATACTGGAGAACTATTCGTAAACAAACGCTTCTCACAGTAAGTTGAGCATTTTACACAGGGCCTCGAATTTGGACGGAGTTTTCTACCGGATTTATTAGTACGTATAAAGGCACTGACCAGGAATTGGCTTTTGTGAATACGGTAATGAACCTTTTGGCTCTATGAAATGCATAGAATTTCTTGAACATCCAAGCAATTATTGGCTTTAAGTCAGTGACTGTAATTATCATGGACCAAAGGCTAACGAAAATTCTTTTCCCAATATTTTGAATTTAAATTTTCCCGAATTGGTTCTCAGGGCGGTGAGTATCAAAAATACTGTCTTCTGGGATGTGACGCCGTGTACTTTTGTGTTTAGGTATCAACGTTTCGGAGAAATTTGCTGCCTTCTTCTTCAGGGTTTAAATAAGATGGTGGCACTAGGTTCCTCGGAAATGGTAATAACTGTCTACCAAATTACACGACGTCACGTCCCACATATTACTAATAACATAATTAAAGAGGGAGAGAAATGTAATAAGAAAGCTTGTTATTATAGACCTTCTGAATTAACTCGCTACGTACAAAGTATCTAGCTATTTAGTAAGCATCAGTGATGTGTTACTCGGCAAAAGTCATGGTGTAGTTTTCCCTGTGTTTAATTAAGCAACACACCATAAAGATATATTAGGAGTGGAGGTATAGCTCCATGCATTCTTTATCTGAGCTCCAGGTAAATATGAGTGCTCATATTCACTCATATTACCCTTTACCTCCCTTTCCCCGGTACCTATCGGTATGTCAGGCTTGGTGGGCTCGAGAGTCAGTCTGGATGGCGTGAAGAAGAGAACTCTGCCCGTCCAAGGATTCGAAGTCAGATTCTCCTGCACGTTTTGTTGCTTATTTTACGACTCTTCCACTATCTCGACTACCTTACATATTGCCGATTGTTAGGATGATTGATGAATTGGAAAGGATTTGGAAGGCAATGGTGGTGACCTAATCAATGTACTATTCCAGAATTTGCCAGATAAACTGAAAAGAAAACGAAAACCATAAATCAGGATACATAGTATCACGGCCGAGATTCGAACCCATTACCTCTCAATGCAATTCTATTGAGTAACCGCTAAGGTAAACTGCTTGGTCTCTTGCTCTGTCGTCGAACCTGCAGTCTTGCTACTTTACTGACTGAGCCACTCCTTCTCCATACATTTCCCAACACCGACTCTAATTTGTGTGTTGTGAACATATGGTGACATGACGCCTGAACGCAGGAAGAGTTCATTGCTAGGCAACGGCTCGGTTAACACATTCCACGGAAGAGCAACGATAGAAGAGTGGTGTTTTCTGTGGTCAGCGCCGTGCTCGTTGCTACGCAACGGTGCGGTAAACACACCTCGACAGCAGTGAATTAACATGCAACATTGGAGTAAGCAATGTTTTCTGGCCGCCTCGAGGCTTTCTAACGTGGACCTCAGGCAGCTAGAATTAGAATTGAGTTTAGTTCCGGGGTTGTCAATTGGCAGAATAATGATAAGAGCAGAATTAAGCCCTGCGAAGAAGACTTCATAGTGTGCTACAGTTACAGTTAGGGTGTTATGAATCCATTGCCAGGACACGACTAGTGAAGACTGATGACACCAATATGTGTCACAGTGAACTGTAAAGCGTGGAAGTAGCGATAGCGCTATAATTAACTGTAGTTACGAGTTTAGTGTATAAGGTGTCAAATCCAATCATCCAATATGTACCCCGTCTATAGTCACGCCTGTGAATCGTGAGAATTATATTACTCTACTGAGATTAGGCAGTAACAGGATGCAGCATGTGTGTAATGGTGAGGCACAAGTTCAAGGCGCATGCGTAAGAATCTTGGCATCTGGAAGTAGTTAATAGTGAGTGCAGGATTGCTATCATGACAATAATTTATTCTGAACTCTCGTTTACCCTGTACTAGCAATACATTCACACACCTCAGCTGAGTTCTTGTTTCTTTATGTTGGTAGCACTCCCTGATAAACGTATCATTTAATTGGGTTATTCAACGACGCTGTTCACTAGGTAGTAGACTGCTTGGCGTCGAATGATAGGATATTTAATATATGATGGATTGAAAACAAATTTTGGAATAAAACACTCTTTGCCTAATCGACTTTCTGTCGCGAAATTCCCTCGGACGGAAACAACAGAAAGTCTCAGTCAAGTTAACTCATGCCCCAGCCGAGACTGGAACCGAGTCCCTCTCGGATGTGAGTCCATATCGTCACCGCTAAGTGAACTTGCTCTATCTTATGCAATGGCAAATTATACTTACAATTTTAAATGGCTATCTATCTATCTATCTATCTATCTATCTATCTATCTATCTATCTATCTATCTATCTATCTATCTATCTATCTATGGCTCTACAGCCCTTGTGGAACTTAGCCGCTTTTTCAGTTTCTTAATCTTTACGCAGTCGGTAGAACTCCTTGGACGGGGGATCAGCCCGTCCCAAGACCGCTACCTGCACAGAACGACACGAACACAGAATAAACGCAGACAGATATCCATGCCACGAGTGGAATTCGAACCCACGAACCCCAGTGTTCGAGCGGGCGAAGACGGTTCATGCCTTAGACCGCGCGGCCACCGTGAACGGCAATTCATGGACATTTCAGTGAGCAGGCTTACCATAATTCTAAAATTAGAGGATATGGTAGCCATTAACTTTAGTGCTGGTTGTTTGGTCATACAACGTAGATTGGGTCGCTGCTGGATGGGGAACTGGAAACGGTTTCGAAGGAGAATATTCTAAGTGCTAACACAAAATACCTCGGACACGATTACCAATATTCCAGCTGAGGTTCGAATCGGGAACCCGCGTACTAACAGAAGCGTTACTGCTTCAGTTAACTTACTCGGTCCGTTAACATTGTCTATGGATATAATCGCTGTTTATTGTGAGAGCATGTGAGAGCACCAGGATATGTGTGGGAAGAATGTTGCAGTTTAGTACTCTAAGGCAGGTGGTACATAGATAAATCTGTGTTATATAAAAGAGATTAATTATGAAATCGACTCGGAACGTCTGACGATACGTTTTTGTTTGTGTTATATGTAATAAAGGTAAAGCTATCCTTGTAAGCCCATACGTTTGTGAGAATTCGAGGCTCCTATATTTTCTAGATAGTCGGTTCACAGATGAAGGTGAAGGTTTTTTCAGGCTTACGCGTCGGCCGCCCTGTACCCCCAGGAAGATTCTTGGTACTCATTTCTGTTAGAGGCTGAGTTGATCCCAGGGCAACAGTGAGGCAGGAAGGATTAGGTTGCTTTTCGACGTGTGTAGATAGATTGCTTAATGCAGATTTATTTTATAGGACTCCCATTAACAACCGTAATTAGTGTACTGAAAAATAATTTTTCTCCTTGCATACAGCGACTACCTCAGTTACGAAAACTGCTTTTAATTTATACTCTTCTGACAAGAAAGGACGGCGATACAGGTTTGATAAGTGGGTGGGTGGACTGAGTGACGCTGACTGGGGTTTTCACATGAGTAAGTATGAACAGTACTGTCTTCTGAAATTTAATGTAGTCTAGTCCGATCATGTAGCACGAATGGGAGAGAATAGGAATGCATATAGGATTCTGGTGGGAAAACCAGAAGGGAGGAGACCACTGGGAAGACCAAGATGTAGGTGGGTTAACAATATTAAAATGGATCTTAGAGAGATAGGATGGTATGGTATGGATTGGATTAATCTGGCTCAGGATAGGGACCAGTGGAGGGCTCTTGTGAACACGGTACTGAACCTTCAGGTTCCATAAAATGCTGTGAAATTCTTGAGTAGCTGCAGAATTGGCGGCTCCTCCAGAAGGGCTCAGCTCCATGAGTAAGTCCGGCAAAAATTTACAGACGTTTCGGAGGAACGTACTGCTTCCTGTCCTGAAAGTTTTGTGCTGCCTTATGTAGTTTTTTTTTTTCGGGGTGGGCCCTAGTTCCGACATGGACGTTGTGCAGAAAAGAAACAGTTGTGCCCTTGCTGAGAATCGAATGACGCCCGTGTAACCCATTCTACAGAACGAAGTGGACTTCTGGCATGAATGGCTAGTGAGACTGTAAATGAGCGAAACTGGCCTATTTGACTTTTATTTCGCGGCCTGCTTTACTACGGAGCAGAAAACCAAATGTACGAAACGCTTGGTGTGTCGCTCGAGTGACGTCACGCCGTTATCAGACAAACGCGTCCCGCACTCTCCAGGGGCAGCTTCCGTCACTAGACGCCTCTCCTACACATGCACGCCGCCCAGCGGCCGAGACATTCACCACCACCGCCGTCGCCGACGACGTCGTCGTCGTCGTCACCAACGATACGACGTCGCTACCCCTCTAGGTCCCCCTCTTGCCCAGCATCCCCCTCTCATCTCTATACGTATCCCCCCTCCAAGAGAGGGATGAAAATGGAGGGGATATTTGTAACACATACATGGGGCCAGCGCGCTGGCTACTTGCGGTCTGGCCCCCGAGAATACCCGAAGGCACCCGAAGTATATCCAGTAATGTTTCAGAATCAGCACACAGTGCATGGACCAATATTTCCGTCTCTTTCTGTCTCGTGTGTTTTCCTGCCTTGGGTGTCCCGAATAAAGAGAGAGACAGAGTAAGGTTGGTAGCGGCGGGCCAGGGGCTACAACTCTAGAAAGAGACAGAACGACTGTACAGAGAGAGATAGAAGACAACTTCTCGTAAGCCTCCGACAGAACGGACACAGACCGACGGTGATCGGTAGAGGGGCCGTTCAGTTGGGGCCGAGAGAGCCACGCAGGAGGAGGGAACGTAGAATCAAGCCAATTCCATCAGACCCCCACAAACACATACACAAACAAACACATCTCAACTTGTGGACGGTCATTCGTATGCGAAACTCGATAATTGGTGATCGCGCTCCAGCTGTGTTACGTATCATGGCGCCCTTAATTGCAAAACAGGCACACGCGGTGCCAAGAACAGACGAAGAGACTTACAATGGTGGACACTCGCCGTGTCATGTTGCTGGATGTGATGACGGTGTTTCGAACGTGCGATAAATACAGACTTGTACACCCCTGCATTGGGATTCATATTTCCTAATAAAATAACGAAGTGAGATAAATGTTTACACATCGTCTGTATCGGAACCTGCAGAAATGTGACGTGTACTTGGTGGAAACATTTTTTTTTAAATCTCAAGGAAACATGGAGGAACTTACTGTAAGAAGACTGTTCAGAACGCCTGTACACACTAATATTTGCAGTGAATTAATATTTTGAAACTCAAATTGCGTTTTGGTTGTTGATTCAGTGTTGAGCTTGTGAGTGCGGTGTTACACGCCCCCTGCAGGGGGGAAATAAGGGAAACATGCGTCTCAGACTGGAACGTTTGCACAGGAATAAACTTGCGGCAGTTATAAGATAATATTTTGACTTTTCATGGAGTTTGTTGTGAATGAAAAAGGAACATCTAACTGGGAGAGTCTTCTCGCGGCCTGCGTGTAGTGGCAATTGTGTCAGAAGGAGAGAGAAGAAAATGATTCAAATGCCGTGAAGAAGGGATCACTCCAACTTAATCACCTCCAAAACATATCCAAGATGCGGATTAAAATGCCAGCAGTTCGGATCGCGCAAGGTAGGCCACGAGGCATGTTCTTAATCAGTGTCAACCCCCAACACTTCCTTAAAAAGAAAGACAGTTAATTCTATCGGGGTGGGCGGGGGTGAAGGGAAATGTTGATTAATTTTTAATTTCCCCCTTTTGTCGTGCCTACGGCGTGCGCGTTGAGTACTACAAGGGGGTGGTTTGGGGGTAGAAAAGGGGGGCTAAAAAGAGAAAAAAAAGCGTGAAAAAATAGCGGGGGGAAAAGAGGGTTTTCGTAAGAATTAGAAAAGACGAAGGAAAGGAGGGAAAAAGAAAAGAGAGGGGTACAGGGGGTTGGGAGTGGGTGGTGGGTGATGACGTAGACACCATCACGTGATCAGAGTTTTTTAATTAATGAGTACGCAACGGAGTTTCTTACTGTCTTGGAGGGCGACGCTACTGAGAGACGGGGGTTGAAAAAATAGCAATGCAGACCGGAAGTTCTCAGTTTTGTTGCTGTCACCATTCGTTGTCTGAGTGTTACTTCTTTCCTTGTCTTGTGTTGATTATGTGCGTCGGTGAAAGAAGAGAAAAAAGTACGGGCGAAGGAAATGTATTTTCGTCCCAGTCTTTAGTTTTAGTTCCGAGGCGGCACTTGATAAAGTAAGAAGCGATTGGCTCTGAACGTACGCCTCGCTAAGTTCCATGCAAAATCATGTTCGTTATGTCTACATTTCTCTTGCCACTTTCATTCATAATAATTCTTTATTCCGTACACAAACATTAATAATCTGTTTGCCATTGCTGATAGAAATAAGAATTTCTAAATATTTTGTTTGTTTACTATGTATGAAGCTCGGTAAAGAGATATTTTCCTGAAGATGTATTTAAATAACGAAATACACATGTTAGTTCTGAAAATGAATAATTAAAAATGGTTTCGTCTTAAACTCCAACCAGTGGTTCGTGTAACTGATCGTTTCTCACGGAAATTACATGGGGTTGTGTATGTGATAATGTTGATGGGGTTGTTGAACGTCTTGTACTGTTCTTATTCAAGAGGGAGTGTAGATATACCATGTGTTATATGTTTTAATGTGTGTTTAAATTGTGTTATTACTGAAATATTGTTTACGCGTGTAATAACTTGCTATTCTTTTTTTTTTGGTTCAGACTTGAAAATTTGTCACTGACTCATTTGTCGAGTCTAATGAGGCAACAGTAACAAAGTTTATAAACAAAATTGCGTGTGTTTGTATATTTACCAGAGTTTTGTGGGCCGAACAGAAAGTTACGGGCGACGAACAACGCCGTTCTAAGGGTGTATTTATTTTATCGGCGCCGTGCGTGCGTTCCTGAGGACGCCAGGCGGGGGAGTTTGCATTCCGACGGCAAGCGAAAGGCCGGTTGCCGGTACTTCCTCGTGCCCGCGCGATCGAACGACGCCGCGTCATGTACCTTCTCCGCTAGACGCATCGTTTAACCCTGCGACATAGGCAGCACTTAAGCCGCAAGCCGACGTGGGTGAGCGCCGTGGTGGTGACGACACAAAAACGTCGCGTGTGGCGTATGGCGGGAGATGGGATATGTGAATTGTAGGAATATGGCTATTTGATGTGATCATATATTAATTGATATCGAAACTTGATGTGTAAAAAATACGAGAAAATTTGAAATGGATTTGAAGGTAAAAATTTGCGATTGGTGTTGTATATTTCTTTCTCGTACTTGTGTGCGTTTGACGTATTGTTGATATACAGACCTACACGATGCTATTCAAAGGATGGCTTTTTTTTATGTATGGTGGAATATTTTGAATGGATGTGTAAAAGTTACTGCCTATACTTAAAAATATAACCGTACAAATTCGGTGTAATTTACACAGTGTTTTATGACAAGTGTTTGTAGACTTATTCATACTTTGCATATCGAATTTCGAATAAAAACAGGTTTCACGTCTGTTCACCTAAATTAAATACCACAATATCCCGAAGCAAGTTTAAAATGTCTGCATTTTGATTTTTATCACGTTTAAAAAAGTGCTATATTCTTTACCGACAAAGCGCACAGAGTTTACTAATTGTAGAGAGAGACGGGATGTTTCTGTAACTGGTTTGTATAGAATTGCCGATCCATGGTGACGTAGGTCAGCGTAATGAGGGAGATATTTTAGTAATTTTTTACCAGTTACTGCGTGAGGCAGTTGGTTGTGTGAAGGAAATGAGTGTCGGACCTTTATACTTTATGTAACAACTGAAAATCGGGCTGTGTTTATGATTAAATCTTCTAAAATTATGACGACGGCCGTCACGACGAGCTTTGAGTAGGAACTACAGACTTAAATCAGGGAACTCCAGGGCGTTGAAATCTATTGAGGTTCTAAACGAAAAACATATTTTATTAATCAAAATAATATGCATCACTCTTTATGTGATTTAATTTAATTTAGTGTTTTTTTTCCAAAGACGTTATATTTTTCCTCAAAACTGCAAACAACATTTGAAGTAAATTTTATGCTTAATTATTTATTAATTGTAACCTTATCATTCAAGCCATGTTTAGTTGTAAATCTGTTATCTGTAACATATTTCATTGTAGTTCATGCTTTATGTGGAACTTAAGCAGGATGTGAGTGTCTGGAGTGGATTCATCTGGCACAGAATAAGGTCCAGTGGTGGGTTCTTGTGAACACGCCAAAGAACCTTCGGGCTCCGTAAAATGTTAATAAATTCTTGACTAGCTGAGCAACTCTCAGCTCCAAAATGAAGTTGAGCTTACGTGTACGGGTCTACTATGAAGAATAATGTTTTTACAACTTTGTGTGCGTAAAATATCATAAGCGCGTTTGGCACTGAAACTGAAGTGTAGGGCTAAGTTAAGTTTTAAGGAAGTAACTCTTGCAGACATACGTCAGTAGCTAGAACACACAGAGAATTCTTTTAAAATGTTTATAAATTTAAATTATTTACAACATATGAAATTTTACATTTTTATAAATCCATGCTATTCTTTTAATGGCCCATAAATTGTATTACTGTCTTCAAAACTTCAAAATTTTGCCCCACACGTATTGCTCGTGTAATTTAAAACCACTAATTTCGTTTTTCGAATATTTTAAGGTTATGACGGCAGTTATTTAAGGACATGAAGCCGTGCAGTATGATATTTACTGACGTTTCACAGAAATCTGATGCATGCTTTCCTGAAGTTATAGGCAGAATATTCCTCAGAAACTTTGGTAAATATGTACCAGATTACACGTGTCACATCCCATAAATCAATAACCATAATACTACTCTTTCGTTTAATATAGCAAGTATATCATCAATGTTTATTTTGTGGTCTGTATATTCTAAATTAATTCTAAATATTTAATGTTTTTAAGCTTTCGGAATATGTGTAGATGCAGTATATACTTGCGTTGCTTTGCGTATGAACCCTTATACCAAATTCACTTCCTCAGAAAACTGAATACAAGGCCTTCATGTAGAAAGATTATAAGCCCTATCTAATACTGAAAGCCAGAGACTCCACGAGGCAGATGACTGGTGAATAATGAATTGGAAAGGATTTATATGGAAGTGATCGTGGTCCATTCTTGGCATTACTACAATATTTTGCTGGGCGGACTTAGAAAAACTACTAAAACCGTAGTCAGGGTGGCCGGTTTCCCGGTCGAGAACATAAGCGGGAACTCCAGAATGCAAGTCCAAAACGGAGAGGGGACTGTAAGAAACTCCGCAAATCTGCACGGCGCTAACTGTAAATAAAATATGCTGTGTTTTGCTAAACGTCCCAAGTGAAGGGACAGAATTATTGTAATGTAGTTAACTGGGTTTCTTTATCTTAACAGCACTGAATTAGTTTGGTAAAAATTGATTTTATTTAACAATATATTTTATTGATAAAGTATACGAATGAATCAATCAGTCAGTACTTTATTAGATCGGTTACAGTTTACGCATTTCAGTGCTGGAGTTCGACTCCCTGGTCCCACGGTACGGCGGCAACATATATTTATACTCTTACGTTTGAATTTGGCCAATATAAATCCTGTTACAGCCTGTACTACATACCGGATCGCCTAAATATGTGTTATTATGCCTCTGCTTGCCCTACAGAAGGACAGGTTTGTAGATTGAATGTAACAGATTGTAAAATATTAACATATTCTATTACTGTAAGGTTTAATTTGATTAAGACAGTTGTCGAGCAGGTTAGCGAGAAGATAATGGGCAAAATTTGTACTCTGGGGTGCTCGGTTCGAAACTTGACAGGGATACCTGATATTCTGGCTGAGATTTTTCATGGTTTTTTTTTTCAATCCCTCCAGATAAATTATGTCATTAACGCTTTGTTCCAAATCTTTTTCAGTTCAGACTGAGATACTGATATTGTCGTTAAACAATTCACAACAATGACTAAGTCAGTTGCTAGCTTCCATTGTTACACGTTAATAATTGTATACATTTCTGAAATATCAAGGGTATCTGTTACTGGAAATGTGTTTATAAAATACCTTTAATTTGGGAATGCAAACTGCGTATTGGTAATGTGAATAAAGAGTTAAGAAAACCAGTTATAGGCTTTCTTTACAAAATAATTATAGTGAAGGAGAACTCCGAAAATGGAGCCATGTCTGCCGATTATTCCATCTGTTTATGGCTTTTTCTCAGCCTCTAAACCTTTGATCAAAATTTGTTTCTTTCGTTATGTGAGATAGAAGAATGTACAGAAGGCTTTCAGTCAGGCAATTTCGTTTTTGAACCTTATTGATACATAATAAAGTCATTTTGTCATTTATGTTATACATGAAAACATCCTTTTATAGCCTCTTCTATGTACCTACATATGTCATAAACCGTTAATAATATTTTATATACAGCCCGCAAGTTAGCTTAATAAACTGCAAAGATCGCTTGTAACTTCGTCTCGTGCTTCATGGAATACAGACTTCCCAATCTTATTACATTATCTGACCTTCATTTATGGAAAGATTCGGGCCATATAGAAGAATAATGGCTCTAAAATACGACGCAAACGCGCTTTTT